ACTTCTCTATCATATTCGTGTATTCATTTTATCCAAAGCGTTCAACAAATTCAATGACTTTTGCAACCTCTTTGCGGCTGAGGCCCCACTGTGCGACGTCTAATTAATGCACATATACACAAAAAATATAAAGACACAGGTAAGACTTTTTATTCGACTTTTTAAAGACAAAGTCTTGAAAAATTGCTCACAAAAATCATCAATTTTTTATTTAAAAACAATTTTGAAAAAATTCTTTAAAAAAACTCTTATACGAGGGCTGTTCTAAGCTGTGACCTTTTGAGTAAAAAATATGTTTTTTGATAAACAATCATTTTATTTTTCAACATAGTCTTATTTTAGCTCTATATAAATTTTCCAGTATTTCTCCAATTTTTGTTCCATAAAATAGGATTTGTTGAGGTCATCAAAATATACATTTTTTGTGAGATGACTCATCATTGGACTCAAATATCTTTCCGCCGAGTCATTACTTCTGGTTTGGAAACAAGAAATAGTCACTAAGAACTAAGTACTGAGAATAGGGTGAGAAAGGAAGTAATTCGAAGTATAATTCATGGATTTTTTCCGCAAAAAATAAATCTTAATCAGCACATGAAATTTTTCCATTTTTTCTTCAAAGCACGAGGAAGCTTGCTATCAATGGTTGTAGACCTCAAACAAACTGGCACAGCTTCTTCAAATTTTGACAAGAATCAGCTAATAGATGCTTTTTGATAGAAAGAGTAACGCCATAACAATTAAGAGGCGGAAATTTTAAAAATTCTCGGAATTTTTTAACAGCCCTCGTAGAAAAAAGAAACATTTTATTAAGCATTTTTAAAGCCTTAATCTATCAAATAATAGTTTCTGAATAAATGTGACCTCATGATTTTTGTGGAATTTCCAAATATTTTTTCTGCCCTCTGCCAGAGGGCGCACATTCACTGCACGAGGCCGAGTGTGTGTGAACGAGAGAGAGAATAAGTAGTGCTGCAGCGTCTGAATGGGGTGGGTTAGCAACTGCAAATTAATATCTTCATCCTGGCTAGATTATATTGATCCGATCTGAACCAAATTCGTCAATCTAGTAGTTATGCTCATTCTCTACGATACTGCGTTTTCGCTATCTCGTATCTTCAAAATTGTGGATGGCACAGATTTTCGTCCTTTGTGAAGGCGGAAGGGGGCGGGGCAGCAAATTACTTAAAATTTATTGTTTTTCATATTTGGTTTTTTGGTTTTTATTGATTTCAACATATGTACTAATTAAAACGAGAAGGAACGTGTGAGTCGCTTCTCGGGACGCGACTCGACTGATACCCGTACTCAGTCGGTATATAAGAATAAAAAATAAATTTACATTTAAATTTTTTTTGCTACATCTGTTATGTACATCTAATATGTATATTCTACATCATCTTCGCTAGAGGGCGCTCGCCTACATATCGAGGCAGAGTGTGCGAGCGAGAAAGAGAATGAGTAGCGTGTCTCTGCCAGGAGGGGGCGGGAAGCAACTGAAAACTGAAGCAAACGTCCCACAAAGGAGGAAAATCTGTGGCTGGCCCATTTTTAAAGATACGATTAAACTGAAAACGCACTATCGTAGAGAATGACCATATCTACCAGATTGCCGAATCTGAATCAGATTGAATCATAATTATATCCAGAATACAGAAATTAATTTTCAGTTGCTTCCCCCTCCTCCTCCAGCAAGAGACCACGCTGCTCATTCTCTTTCTCGCTCGCACACACTCTGCCCTGTGCAATGCGCGACCTTTGCGGAAAAGATGTATAATCTACATTGTGTATGTATAATCTACATTGTGTATGTATAATCTACATTTAAGATGTGGAATCGACATTGTAGATGTAGATAACAGATGTAAAATTTTTTAAATTCTACATAGATCATAAGCTTACAAATTTATGTACTGACTGAGTATGGGTATAAAAGTAAAGTCGTGTCCAAAGAAGCGACTCACACGTTCCTTCTCGTTGAGATTTAACAAGGTAGCTTTTATTGTTTGTTGTTTCTTTATGATTGTTTATGCAAAATGTTTTAAAATTAGCCACTGAAACGTCTGCGATCGCGCAATCCATTTGAAATGCGTGGAAATAAATGCAAGTTATTTGCAATTATTGCATGTCAAATTGATTTTGTAAATTTTTATACCCGTACTCAAAAAGAGTTAAGGGGTATATTGTATTTGTGGTAAAAGTGGATATCTATCTGTCCGTCTGTCTGTCATGTTGAGCGCCTAGATCTCAGAGACTATAAGAGCTAGAGGAACCAAATTTGGTTTCCAGACTCATGTTATATCACACTGCTACAAGTGTATTTCAAAATTTCGCCCCGCCCCTTCCCCAAGGTTCTCGACTAGCAAGCCTAGAATTGCAAATGTATGTGTGTACACAGGCACGACAAAATATTTATCAATTCTTTTTTTCCGAAACCGTTCTGAGTTTGTTTTGAGTTTCGTTTCCAGGCTACGTAAATGTGTGTGTGCCATGTATTCACACATACTGTGCTTGTGTGTGGGCTCTACAATTTTTGGCCGCTTGAATTGGTTTTTCGTTTTGTTTTGAGGGCTGATGTAGCGACCTGTGCGGACCTGCCGCAATATAACTAAGGAATGGGCAGAGTGGGTGGGGGTGGGAAATAAATAAAATATAATACAATATATACAATATAAATATAATATATATTTCCGCTACATCAGCCCTCAAAACAAAACGAAAAACCCATTGTAGATGTAGATGAAAGCTGTAGCAAAAAAAAGTGTAAATAAATTACATACAAGTAGAGTCGCGGCAGCAGAAGCGAACTCAACGCTCCCTTTCGTATTTATTTTATATGAAGTTGGCCTTTCCAGGACTGTCAAATGTACGAGTATACTAAGTTAGAAAATAACACTACCTGACATGATTTTTGCTGAAGGAACCAAACCAACTTTTTCTGAAAAATTTTGGGATTAGCAAAGCTCTATGTATATTTATAGGGACGGAAACGTTTCCTTCTCTGCGTTACACGCATCCACTTTTACCACAAATACTTAACTCTTTGAGTACGGTTATAGTTATGATTTGTGTGCGGTATTTTGAAATTATGCGAAATTTTTACTTTAAAAACTCAGGAAACTGCATTTAGCTGCATTTAAGTTATGTGAAAAAATAAGCACTACCTTGGAAAAAGCATAAACAAAATTAACCAGTTTTCAAACATTCTTTAAAAAATAGTTCTGCCATAGAAAAAAACCATAATTCTTTAAAAAATTGTAAAGCTCAAAATCTATTAGAAAAAGTCGGTTTGGTTCCATGAGGAAAAAGTTCGATTTGGTCGAGTAGTGTAATAAAGTTCAATATCAGCTAAGTTATCAACCAGACGTGTATGTTCTGCTTTTCATTTTCGAGTGCAAAAAAGAAAATTTAATCTTTCGCAACGGAGTAAATAGGCTACGGAGCATTGCGAATCAATTAACTAATGAAGAACGACAAATTGCCGCGTTGGTGTGGCACGAAACTTTGCGAGCATTGTGGGGCATTCAAATCGGCTGGAGAAACGCCTGGATTATGCTGCGTTAATTGCAAAGTAAAATTTTAAATCAATCCTAATCCTGAATAGATGGATCCGTGAAATTTTAAAGCAATCTTAATCCTGAATAGACGGAAATCCGCACGAGAGAGAAAAACAAAAAATCTTTGTCAATATAATTGTCCCGTTGAATGCATAATGATTCAATATTTAAATCATATTCTTAACCTTTATTGGTCAAGCTCTTTTTTGTGAAGTCACAGGGACAAAAACACGGAAAACAAGACGAGAAGGAACGTTTGAGTCGCTTCTGGGGACGCGACTCTACTTATACCCGTACTCAGTCAGTATATACATTTTTTAGCAGAATTTATTAGAATTTTAGAATTTAAAAAAAAATTTAATTTTATATTTTTTTCTACATCTTTTATCTACATCTACAATGTACATTTTACATATAACATGTAGATTAAAGATGTACCATTTATATTCTACATTTCCTCCGCTAGGGGTTGCTCGCGCACTGAACGAGGCATAGTGTGCGAGCGAGAAAGAGAATCAGTAGCGTCAACAGCGCTGGAGAAGGAGGGTGAACCAACAGAAAATTAATCTGATATGATTCAGATTCGGCAATCTGGTAGATATGTGCATTCTCTACGATACTGCGTTTTTAGTTTTATCGTATCTTTAAAATGGTGCATGCCACAGATTTTCGTACTTTTGTGTGGGCTGAAAGGGGCGGGGCGAAATTTTGAAATACACTCGTAGCAGTGTGATACCACATGAGTCTGGAAACCAAATTTGGTTGCCCTAGCTCTTATAGTCTCTGAGATCTAGGCGCGCTCATCAAGACGGACGGACGGACAGACGGACATGGCTATATCGACTCGGCTATTGATGCTGATCAAGAATATATATATGTACTTTATGGGGTCGGAAACGTTTCCTTCTTTAAGTTTCACACATCCACTTTTACCACAAATCTAATATACTCCTTAACTCTTTTTTGAGTACGGGTATAAAAATGTCAAATAAAATCATGAAAAATGTAATGTATGTTTATTTGCCGCGCAGGGCGAGCAAATCAATTTTGCGACAAATAAACAGGAGGACCTAGTCGCACGTGGTTATGCGATTTGTTGTAGTAACTGGTAGATCTATGCGTGGCACTCAGATGACGACAACGATAAACGTGCGAATGTAACGATGATCGAGTTTAAATTTAATATGCAATGCAGATGAGCCTCCCTAGGGCGTCTAGTCAGATGACAAAAGCCGAGGAAGGTGACATGAAAATGTAAGACATGTCAATGAAAACAGTATTTAAGAGCTACGTTTAATAGTTTTTTTTATAGAGATTCAGACAACGGACTATGTGCTGCCATGGGTCGGCGCTTAACCGAATAGAGTGCACACTCAATATAATAATTATCAATAACTGAAATGTTTGAATAAATTATGATGAATTATTTTTACTAAATTCTAGTCATGATGGCGTTGTTCCAATGATACCATTGGGTCTTAAGGAAACAAAAGAAATTAATTTCATGGAACCTTTCTCGGACTTCATTTTGGAGCACTATAGTGAAGAATCCTCAATTTATATGGATGCAATTGCAGATATGACAGACACCAGACAGGCAAATCAACTTGATAGTACTTTATTTAAATTTATTGTAATAGTGTTATTTGTTTTCAGGCGTCCAAGACTCCATCACGCGATTCTCTTGGCGTAGCATTGCTTTTTCGATACTACAACTTGCTTTATTACGTGGAACGTCGCTTTTTTCCGCCTGACCGCAACCTAGGCGTCTACTTTGAGTGGTATGATTCATTAACGGGTGTTCCCTCGTGCCAGCGAACCATTGCATTTGAGAAGGCGTGCATTTTATTTAACTTGGGCGCCATATACACACAGATCGGTGCTCGACACGATCGTAGTACGGAACGGGGCTTGGACTCCGCTGTTGATAGTTTCTTGCGTGCTGCGGGCATATTCCGTCATATCTACGATACGTTTACAAATGCGCCATCTATGGATCTAAAACCCCACGTACTAGATGTTTTGGTATCTCTAATGCTGTCTCAGGCTCGTGAGTGTCTATTTGAAAAGCTGAAGCTACAGATTGAGCCGTCGGGGCTGACTGTTTCCAGTCATGTAATTAACAGTGCTGCGCCACAATCTAATGAATTGCCTCAGCTTTTCCGTGATTTGGGCGGTGAAGCTGCACAGCTTTCGCTCGAGTACAATGAGATGCACAAGAACATCCAAGTGAATGACACACATACCTACCTTCCAGAATGCTGGGCTGGGCTGGTACCGCTTAAGGCGGAGCTTTACAGAGGTGAGCAATTGTTTCAATAATAAAATTAAATTAACTCCTAAACTTTACTAACTAGCTTTGGCCCACCATTACGAGGCTCGCAGCATAGATGTGAGGGTGCCCATCAAAAAAGCTCCGCTTGCATCATCAAAGGATTCGTTTGTTGGAAACCCCCGAGAGGAATTGCGTGTGACGCAATGCAGCGATGAGTCCGAGGAAGAAAGTGTCAGTTTCATTGCGATAAAGCATACTCACTTACGAGAAGCTCTGGCTAGTTACGAAGAGGTTCAGCGTCTGCAGCGCATGTGCCGCTTTCTGAAGGTAATCATCATCCCGTAAAATGCTAAATTCTCTATGACGTACGATTTTTTTGTTAAAGAATAAAACATCACTCACGCACTTCATCAAGGAAGCAAATTACCAAGCCCAGGAGGAGTATGAAAACTTCAGAATTCAAGCGTTGGCCAATAAGGTTGACGAGAGCTACGATCTTGTAGAGCGCGTTGTGGAAGGTAATGTGAAAAATTCAAATAAGGGAGTGTTGTTTTATTGCCATAAAATCTGTATCTACTTATAAAGCCTCGTCGAAGTTTACATTGACCTTAACGGGACCCGATTTCACGTCGCACAAAGTGGAAGATCCTTTCAAACGCCTTGGGCCGATTGCAATATTCTCTGCACGGCGTCACTGGACTGCGCCACGCTGTGTTCGTCTACAAAAAGGATCCCCAAAATATCATGACTCTAGCGTCTGCCACTGTGACACTGTCACGACCCCTGTGGTTCATGACAAGGAATGTCGTCGCCAATATAAAGAAGAAATAGAGAACTTTGGGTTTCATGTGCGCGGCGATGCGCCGGTCATTATAGCTCACGTGGAGATCAATTCGCTGGCTGATGTAAGTAGTTTGATATTTATGATAGCGGTTACTTAATAACCACTCGAGATGGATGTATTAAGTTATAAATGTATTCGCAGCTTGGCGGCATAAAGGAGGGAGATTTCATTGTCGAAATCGAGGGCATGGATGTCAAGTGGTTTTCACATCAACAGGTTGTTCATCTTATACAATCATGTGGTTCCGTCCTTGAGCTCAAAGTAATAACTCCAATGGATCGCAATTATTTGAAGGTGCGTTTAAGGACGCTACATATTTTCATTCCAATCTAATAATAAAAGACTAATCCACAGCCCTTGTCGTCGAAGGGTTCTATATCAACGTTGTCAGCGGCTAGCTCATCGGGATTTTCATCAGGATCCTCAAGTCCCACACACACTACAACACAGCCCGAGGCTCGCATGAAGACCTCGACTAAGGCAGGTTTCGTGGGCAGCGTTTCATCCAGCTTATGGAATCCCTTCCGACGATCGCCGAGCATAGCCAAAATCTTTTGAGATTTAGAAGCGATTAATTTAAAAATTTAATTAATTTAATTAGGTGTATACTCACTTCCGAAGCAGCTGCCATTATAAAATAGAACGAACGATGAGATATAATTTGACTAAGAAGGAGACTTATCTCTGACAAATCGGTTTTCAAATGTTAAAATGGAAAAAAGGTTTATGTATGCATGTACAAGGATTGTTCAATAAGTCCGTGATGTTTTGAATTTCCAGCCTCTTAATTGATATGGTATTACATTTTTCTGTCAAGAGGCATCTATTAGCTGATGTCTGTCAAAGTTTGAAGAAGCTACACCAGTTTGTTTGTGGTTTACAGCTTTTGATAGCAAGCTTCCTCGTGCTTTAAGGAGTGTGCTGATTAAGCATTATTTTTTACAGAAAAAAACCACTACTTAAACCAAGCAAAACTTAATAAATACTTTGGGATCTGTTCTTCATCGATTACAATTGTTAAACGAGAAGGAACGTGTGAGTCGCTTCTAAGGACGCGACTCTACTTATACCCGTACTTTTTTAGTACGTATCGTAGTTTTATCGTATCTTTAAAAATGTGCCTGCAGATTTTCATCCTTTGTAGGGGCGGAAGGGGTCGGGCGAAATTTTGAAATACACTTGTAGCAGTGTGATATCACATAATCTGGAAACAAAATTTGGTTGCTCTAGCTTTTATAGTCTCTGAGATCCAGGCGCTCATCAAGACGGACGGACGGACAGACGGACATGGTTATATCGACTCGGCTATTGATGCTAATCAAGAATATATACACCTTATGGTGTCGGAAACGTTTCCTTCTCTGCGTTAGATACATCCACTTTTACCACAAATCTAATATACCCCTTAATTCTCTTTTGAGCACGGGTATAAAAAGTACTACAAGAATTTTTAAATCCCGAAATCTATTAGAGCGAGAAGGTACGTGTGAGTCGCTTCTGTGGACGCGACTCTACTTATACCCGTACTCAGTCAGTATATACATTTTTGAGCATATGATTTTTTAGAATTTTAGAATTAAAAAAAAAAATTTTACGTTTTACATTTTTTTGCTACATCTGCTATCTACATTTATAATATATATTCTACATCTCCTCCGCTAGGGGTTGCTCGCGCACTGAACGAGGCAGAGTGTGCGAGCGAGAAAGAGAATGAGTAGCGTGTTTCATGCCGGGTGAGACGGGGAAAGCAACTGAAAATAAATTTCTTCATTCTGGCTATAATTATGATCCGATCTGATTCAGATTCAGCAGTCTGGTAGATATGGCCATTCTCTACGATACGGCGTTTTTAGTTTTATTGTATATTAAAAAATGTGCCTGCCACAGATTTTCGTTATTTGTTGTGGCGGAAGGGGGCGGGGCGGAATTTCGAAATACACTTGTAGCAGTGTGATATCACATGAGTCTGGAAACCAAATTTGGTTACCCTAACTCTTATAGTCTCTGAGTTCCAGGCGCTCAACAAGACGGACAGACAGACATGGCTATATCGACTCGGCTATTGATGCTGATCAAGAATAGATATACTTTATGGGGTCGGACACGTTTCCTTAACGTTGGTTAACGTTTGACCCTTGCGCAGCGAGGTCAAAATTTAGTTAGTCCAAGTCAAAAATTTGAAAAAATTATGCACAAAATCATAAATTGTGCATTTGAAAGCTTAATATTTAACAGACGGTAAGCTGAAGCTACAAAGTGCTTAGGTATATTAGTATTTTTTAGCTTTTCAGAAAAGATGATTAAGATGATGATTATAAGATGATTATAACAAAATTTAAGATACGGTTTGTGAAAAAAAGAAGAGCTTTCTCCGAAAAAAGCATACAAATATATCATTTATAAACTTAACGAGAAGGAACGTGTGAGTCGCTTCTGGGTAGACGACTCTACTTATACCCGTAGTCAGTCAGCATATAAATTTTTGAGATTTTGAGCTTCCACATCTACAATTTATATTCTACATCTAAAATGTAGATTCTACATGTACCATTTAGATTCTACATCTTCTCCGCCAGCGTGCGCTCGAATTACAGTTCTAAGGTGAACTTTGTCCAGTGAATCCAGTTGCAGTAGCTATGTAATTACAGTTCTAGGGTGATTTTCCGTTTAAAGATTGACAACCTTCTTCCTTTCTGGTCAGAATTATCTTGATCGTTTATTGTTTTACAAGCTAAGAAGCGACTTATGGAATAAATGGAATACAATCAGAAAATGAAATGGAATGGAATGAGAATGAGAATCTGCTTAATCGGCAGATCTCGCGTGGTTGACGATCCGCTGGGTAAGCGGTTGGCTCCGCTTCCGCTGGTGTCCGAACTCAGCGTTTTTGTATACAGTGAATGGGTTAATGACCATTCAACTGTGTCGCTGAGGTTTGGGGGGCGGCGGTGTGGCCGCAGCAATGTGTGCGGTAACTCCTCCCCCCCTAGAGTGGAGAGAGGGCCACAACGGAGGAATGGCCGGCTCTACAAAAGTAGGTAGGGTTGGAGGGTGTGGGAGGAAGATGGTCTTCGGTTTATGGCAATATTGAAGGATGGCGATGAGGATAAGGATCAACGATATTGCCGAGTATAAGGCCGTGAACTTGTAGTGTGCTGCAACATCCATGGTGATGATCTTCCCAGCGGTTGAAATGGCTTCTAAGTGCAATCTCTCTAGTGATAACGCTTTGATCGTTTTATTTTTTGATATCTTAGCAATCGGAGGAAGTAGGAAGGTGAAATGATCTTCTTCTGTCAATTCCTCATCACTGTATTCCACACCGTTAATCCATACGGTACAATTCTTGTATCGTATTATGGAGGAGCCATTCAAGTGGGTGTCATTGGAACAGGTCGATTTAAGGGTAGCGTTCTTTTCATTGAAAATGAAGATAAACCCCTTTTCTGCCTCGAATATGTTCGTTCCATATTCTGTATCTATCATGTCGCACTTTGTCTCTTTTTCGTTCATGATGATATCTGATAGGCATTTTTTGTTGTTAAATTCCAAATCTGTGTGGGTCTTCTGGCAGAAGAACTCCTGTTCCACCTTCAGACAGCTTTCTCGAAACTGCAATATAGTATCGTTGTCGTGGGCCAAAAATGTAGGTGAAATGATGAAGTGTGAATTGTTTACCGGCAGTGGTATTATATGAGTGAACTTATATACTTTAGTGTCGAAAATTGGAATCTTAACGCTAAACAATAATTTTGTCTTAAAAGTATAGCAAGATGGTGTGAGAATGTTATAAATGTGTTCATCTAGTTTTAACTGAATGTTCTGGGTGTTTAATATATTTCTTATCGTATCTATTTGTTTTTTATTAAACAAGAGTTTTGGGATTAGTCCCAATTTGCTGGCCAAAAGGCTCTCAGCAATATTGTTAATATGTTCTACTAGTGTGTCAATGTGAAAGTTTATCTTATTGATATATTGTAGTGTGTAAAAGTGTTCCCTATCTTCTTTAAGCTCTTTAAAAATAGTATTTTGGGTTGTATCTAGAAAGTTTTGTAATTTAGTTTGCTCGCTATTAATATGGTTGGTGATACTATTGAACCTAATGATAACCTGTTTATCAAAATTTTCCTGTTTTTCTTGGGCATTTTTTAGTATGTGGGATGTATCTTTTAGCGTATTAATCTCTGCCAGGATATTTTGACCATCATTATCATCTAAATTACCCGATATCGATTTAAAGACAGTACCTAAGCCATTGATTAAACCCCGTTTTCTTCTCACGTGTGGGAGTAGAGTGTCTATTCTCTCCTCCAATTGCTGTAGTTTGCTTTGTATGATTTCGAGCGAAATTTCGAATGTTTCGTCTAATCTAAGGCTTTTTAATGTGTTTCTTATTCTGGAAAGGCAAACTTTGAAATCTTGTACATCTACGATGTGGGTTAGAATTTTATGATTCTGTGTTATATGAGCGTTTCCCAGATGAATGAATGCAAGAGGTGAGGATCCGTTGAGTCTTTCTAAAGAGAAGGACTGCGCGGCGAATGGGTTGTTCTGGAATGAAGTAGGTTTACTAGGTGTTATTGTTTTTCCTGATTATTTTTCTTATTTTTTGTTTGTGTAGTTTTTGTTGTCTAGTGGTTAGTAATGTAACCCCTTTATCGGTTCTGACTTTGTGCAAGGAAAACCTGGGTGTAAGTTTGTTCCTCCTATTCTCTTTCCTAAAGATAACATCGTCGGGTTCTACTTGGATTGGCGGTTCTCTGTCTTCGTTGAGCTTGGTTAATCTTTGTTCTGTTTTGTTATTTAGTTGTTCCTGTATTTTGGGATATACCTCAGGGAAAGAAGTATATGTGCACTTTTTAATTTGCTTATATTTTCTATGAACGTTACGGTATATTTTTTGTAGGTATGCAAGCTTGTACTCTTATCTATTATAAAGATCTCCCACTCCAATGTTCCTCTTTGCGCTTCATTCTTTGTACCGTTTTAAATAATATGTGTAACAACTCGTGGTTTTCAAAGGCAATAAGTATATGTGCAAGCTTAGATTATTGTGCTATCGCGTGCGGGTAAGCTAAGAAGTGTGATCCAAAAAAGTTATTTAATCAGCAGAATGTAAGTAAACTTGTTTTTATACGTTTGGAGACATAAATGTTTGTTATAATTTTGATTTTACGGCAGAATGCCACGTGGAACACATTTGTCGGGGGAAGATCGCGGTCTGATCAAAGGGCTGGCCGAATCTGGCAAGAATACTTCTTATATTGCCGTCAGACTAAATCGGCATAGAAACACAATAGCAAACTTTCTCAAAAATCCGGAAATGTATGGAAAAATAAAGCGAAGCGGCAGACCCACTGAAATCGATACGCGGTGCAAGAGGCAAATTCGTCGTCTAGCCGTTCAAAACAACAAGTCTTGCATGGAGATCAAAGGTCAACTGAAGCTTGACATATCCAAAAGACGTATAAATCAAATTTTAAACGAAATCGAAATGGTTACATATGCTTCCCGCGACGCTGTACCGAGGTTATTGAAGCGCCACATAACCGCTCGACTAGAATTTGCTGAGAAGTACAAATTTTGGTCAGAGGAGTTCACTAAAGTTATATTTTCGGATGAAAAAAAATTTAACTTGGACGGTCCTGACTCCTGCCAAAAGTATTGGCGCGACAAAAGGCAACCACGGCAGCACTGCCA